CTGCACGGACGGTTTTTAGTATCTGTCATCGTCTAAATGATTTGCGGTTACTCTAAGATCAAAGTGAAGAAACTTGATAACTCCATTATGATGGAATCACCGGGGCTACAAAGATTGCTTTATTATCTCTGATGTAGACTCGGACTTCGGTGAACTGATTAACATGAATAGATCACAACTCATAACATTTCTTGCAATTATTTTGGGCCATTTAACTAGTGAAAGAGAGGTTAGCAATTTATGAGTAAATTTAGTCATTTTACGAAAATTTTACCCGCCTCACATCTTGGCGCTCTAGATTGGCCCCGTGTTCCTGTGAGTACAACTGATGATAATTAAAGTATAAAAGCAATATTCGTTGTGGTTTCACATACCAAGCCAAAGAATAAACCATGTTTCCCTGCAGAACTTGAACAGTAGCGAGTGCTTCATCAGTCTCACTTTCATCACATCTTAGTAGCGAAAGTGATTTGCAGTTGATTTTTAAATTCTTTACAACTGGAAGCAAAGAAATGATATCTGTCCATTAATATTAGGTTCTCCAGGTGCTTTTTCCATACCTACAATGACTCGAACAAATAGTATAAATGGTTCAACACTCGATATTAACGCAAAAACATAGAGTAAGCACTCCAATATCCCAAAAAGGATTGCATTGTCATAAATTCTAGGGTATGAGAATTACCTATTCTGTATCATCAAGGATCAAGATAGCACTTTCTTTCGCCGAAACAACATCAAGACCTTTTCAATGATTCTCTGTACAATCCTCTTTCGCTATAACTCTAGAATGGAAGTAAATATTCTCTAGGTCGAGCAGCTTTGCCATTTCCAATGCAACGGGATGTTTTCCCATCATGTATATATGAGTTCCACTGGGCGTACAAAATTTATTTCACAGGAATTTTACAGAATACACACAATGGGAGGTGGGTGGATATTTTTTTGGTAATATTTTATTCACATGGGAGTGGTCCCATGTGAGTATTCTGGCTCCACTCTGCAATGCATTATTCTGTACCCATAGAATAATGCTATGTATATCAAACAAAGTACTAGCTTCCTTCGTAAAGGTGTTCAGAAAAGGCCTCAACTTTGTCAACATTCGCACTGAGTCAAATCTGAATAGACTGATCTTCAGAGTATCTGGTCACAGGTTAAATTAACTGAACAATGCCAAGGAGAAATGAAACAGAAAAATAGAAACAATTTATTGACTACACGAGTTAACTCTGAGAGCAAAGTACTCATTACATTTAATTTTTTAGCCCATTTTCAAACTTTAAAAGAATGTCATTTTGTTTTTCTTTTTTGACCTTTTTCTTAACAATATTCTGGATTTAACAGAAAAGCATAGCCAAAAAAAATGATAACCTTAAAAGCAACAAATATATTACCAAAGCGACTGTAGAAAACACAAAGGGGGGCATACCTTGCCGAGTATCTTGTTGGCTCTTCAAATATTTTCTTCAGTGTCAAAGATACAAGTGGGGTTCAGCAGAGTCTGATCTAACTCAACAAGTTCTTGAAGTTTTTGTCACGTAATCTCGCAATTTCATCATTAGCAAGCCTCAAATGCTGCATGTACAAGATCATATCAAAATTGAAGATATAGTTCCAACGACGTAATTTGTTAATGGAATTAAATCATTAGATATTTGCTTAAGTATACTATGATAAAAGGCAAAATTACAGAGCGGAAGGTTATAAGAAAGATAAACAAATGTCACGAAAAGAAAAAAACTCACGAAAAAAATTTATTTCTGTCAATCAATGCGGCCACAAAGGGCTACAATGTTTTTATATAGGAAAAACTCCAGGAAAATTTGCAAAAATTAAAAAATAAAAAAAATATTTTTTTTTTCAAAAATGGAAAAAAAAAAAGATAATGACTAAAATTGAAAGTCGTAATCATAAGGATTATCCTCCAACAAACGAAATTCAAATCCGACTTAAATTGATATAAAACAAAATTTACCAAAAAAGGAAAAAACATATAAACCAATGCCTAAATAAAGGAATTTGCCTGAAATTGGATCTACATCAGGAGCAAAGCTACCGAATCTTATTTATTGACCCGTTTCCAATCAAATTTAACTAAAATTTCGTTAAAAATGGACAACCTCAAAATTTCTCCAAAAATCGGGAAGTTTTCTATTTCTGCTTGCGCCGATCACACTTTTTTATAAAGTCTAATTCCTTCTACACCTCATCGTTATTTATCAATGATAAAAGGTTGCAACTCATCTCCTATTTCATTAGATGAGCATATGGAAAATGTTAGACAAAAAGTCTTTTTTGACTGCATGGAAAGTGATCCACATAAAGAAAATGATAATTTGTCTGCTTATTCCTGTTGTTAGCAATTGAAGCTAGCCAGCTAGTCAACTGAGACCGTTCAAGCCTCAAGGTCATCTTGGGATAAAATGATTGGTGTACAGATTTATTCTTACAGAATATTTACAAAAAACTCACAAAGGTGTGGACCCCACCTGAATAAATAATGTCAAAAAATTAACCTCTCATGTGAGATGTGGATAGCTAAACCCCTACCTGTACACCAATCATAACTCCATCTTGAGATGGATCAAACTGAGAATAATGGAGCCCCATTAGGCCATAACTTATTGGGTCGGGTTCAAATTGAAGATCAACCACTATCCTTAACTCCTCTTGTTGACCAACAGGGGTCGATTTGCAAAACTCATAAACTTTAGGATCCAAACTGCTACAATCAGAAACTTCTGGGACTAAATTGATATTTTCTAAAACACCAGGGACCGGTTTACCTACAATCTAAAGTTCCATGACTGAATGCAAATTCTGAATAGTTTGGGGACCAAACTAAAAATATTGAAACTTTAGGGAAACAATTTGCAAATTGTAAAAAGTACAGGGATCTAGCTGCAGTTTTCTAACAGGACAGGGACTTCTAATTTCTGAAAGTCAACGGGCTGACTTGCAACCTGCTCGAAAACCCCATGATTTTGCTACAAGTAGAGATATATGTGTGGATGATGACCGTTCATGTGGAGGTTCTAACACAAACACATCAATGACTATTTATAATCGAGTAGGAACAAATGTTGTTGTAGATCTACCTTTACAAACTAACCCTAGACTTGAGAGGACCCAAAATGAGGTGATGATGGTTGCACTTCTCAAATTGAAACAGCAACTAGAAGGGACGGATGTACCACGGTAGGGCACATGGGATGAGGTATCCATCAAGCAAGGAATTATTAGCCATTTCAAGAACCTTCAAGTCAAAGTGGTTCCTCACTTTCGAGGAAGCAGTTGATGACCTAGTGATTAATTTTTAGGAGGTTCGACTACTACTTCTTCAGTCAAAATCGATAATGGAGATGAAATTCGAGCAAACATTCGGAGTGACATGGATTGTGTGGGTTTTTGGAGATCACATGGTTGATGTTCAATCACAATATACTCCGACGTTTCTATCCTCGTTTGACATTTGTGATTCCTTTAAGGCAATACACAGGATTTAAATGATCTTACCATAAAAAATCACACGAAGATATGTGAAAAACAAAGACTCTCTTGCCCCTGTTTGTCATCCTTTGCTTTACATTTTTTCTCATTATGTTTTGTACAGTACTCATTTTTAATCACACATTCTTCATTAAAATAATATTATACGCAAACTATTATTATTTTTTTTTAAAATTTAATCACACATTCTCCATCAATCACTATTTCATAATACATTTTTTTAAATTAATGAGGCTCAAATAGGGCCTCTATTAAATTCAACCAAACTCTTCTCGATTTATACATGTTTTATCTATATTAGTTTAGGATAAGTTTTAATTCCTTTAATTATCCATTGCTAGAGCTCAGGTCCAACCCCCTCCTAAGTTGTACTCTCTCTTTCTTTTTTTCTCATTAATAAAACACGTTGGCCACTATATATGTTGATCTAATTTATAAAAGAATATTATGCAGTAAATATTCCAACACTTACATATGTTAGAAAACACAATCCTAAAAATCATGGAAAAATATTCTCGTATTTAATAATGATTACTAAAAAATGATATAAATGACTTATTTAAAAGAAAATATGATCTTCTTTTTTCTTAGCGAGTCTATATTAAAGCTGGCCATCGCCAATATGAACATAGGGAGACGAAGAAGTTGAACTCTTGCACAAAGGTATGCTATCTTAGAAATATTAAGTTCATGAAATAGGCGTCTTAACAATAACAAAATTCATTATATATATTTTTCTTAATGATGTCTAATATGTGTAATCTAGTATTAAAGGAAGTTGCTATATGTACACGGGGATTACAGACCCCCTCACAACAGCGGGGCCCACGATTTTTTATTCATAATGGGCCCTCTGTTGTGAGAGAGTCTGTACATCGGGATGTCAATCTCGGCATACAAATAGACTTATCCAATATTAAAATAAATCAGTATTTGTTAAGGATGACAGAACCAGGTGGTGCGGGAGGGGGGAGGTGATTTTGTATGACCCTTTTTTTAACATATATATCTGAATTTTGTTTCCCCTAATTAAATCAAGCTCCCACAAAATTAGAGTCTTGACTTTACCACTATTTTGTTAATTGTTATGTGCCACCTTGATTTTATTTTCTCTTGTTATAGCTACTAGCCATGT